AGTTAGATAAGTGAGCATAATAGGTTAAAAGGATAAACTCATATTGATTTTAATTCATATCCTAGACCAGCAAAAACAAATAAATGTAAAACAAATAAAAAAATAACTAAGGACATCAGACACTGCCCCACATGCAAGCTACTTGCAAATCGATCTGGTGAGAATAATAGTATTTAATTCCAAACTAACAATGGAATCTATCCTTGATAGGTGATATAAGAAATAAAAGCTAATCTAAATACAGGAAAGATTTTCAATTCGCAAATTGAATTAATTATAAAATACGAGTATAGAAAGATACAGCCTATGAGCTATAGTGCCTGATCAGGCTCGCCATTATAGCAAGCCTTTGCACCAATTCATGAAGGCAATTAAGGTAAAATGCATGAAAGTACAGAAGGAACAACCTTTGCCAAATGTTCAAAGCAGAAGTCAAGCTGCCTTTTGACGAGTAGATCAACGCCAGGGTATGATGCGCCTCATACTTAGTTAGGAAGGCAATCAACTCTTCCAGATCCAAGCTTGGCAGAGACTCAATTAATTGGAGTAAAGGATCTTCAGGAGTCATGCAAACTTCTTCCCAGCTATCCTTCTTCCTTAGTTTATCATCCACTTCTTTCTGGTGTCCGAGTTCTGTCTCAGAAGGAGCTTGGGAGGTAAAATTGGATTCATAAGGATGAGTCATCTGAAGAAAACGAAGCTTGACAATAGCAGTGTCCATTAACTGAAGTCAGCAGACATGAGGAAAAGGAAGTAAGAGAAATTGATGGAAAAGAAAGAGAAAGAGAAACTAAACAAGAAGGCATAGAAAATACAATAAATTTTATAGATGACCTGCATAACCCAGTAGAAACCTAGTTGTACAATCTCCATATTTTATTTTTAGGAACCTCTTCACATCACTTATTTGAAATATTCAAAACCACGCTCAAGCAAAAAATTCAATTCGCAATATAAGAGCAAATATAAATACAGTAGTATAGCCCAATAATTTAATTTAAAATTAGAACCGAGAAGAAACTGTCCTTCTTGATGAAAAAAGTCAATGCAAATAGAATGTCATGAAATGAAAGAAACGAATAAGATAAAGGTGCATTCTTTCGGCAGCTCAGGGAATCTTAGATAAGAAAGTTAAAATCAATATACTGTCGATTATTTTCGAAGGTATGAAGATCAATATGGTGTGGCCTGTTGTGTGGTCGCAGTCTCCTTTTGTTGTTTGACCTTGTTTTCGCAACTTTGTCATATTGGTAGGAAGACTTAGAGGAACGCAGCTAGTCCGGAGTCCATTGTCTGCATGATGAATCCCAGAGTATGACCGTGGACGTGGTACATTCCCAGACGTTTCGCCGGCATCATCAGTGAGTCTCGCCATTCTTAGCACCACAC